CAGTTTCGTAGGTGGTGAGTCTGCTCGTAGAACAAACGAAGAGAACGCAGAGAGATAGATAGAGATAGATTGATGAAAAAAAACTTAGTTTGAAAATTTAGTTTCGTTGTAAAAAGAAAAATTTGGGTGGTGAAGGTGCTAATCGATCGTATTAAAAGCACGTGTTGAAACAGGATTTAAGCCTAAAACAATATGATTCGTCGTCCTCGGATGGAGGGTTGTCGACGGTCCCCTCCCGGCACATGACCGGCAGCAGAGAATCCTTGACGAGAATCATACCAGCATCTCCACGGTCTAGCAGAGATCGAGTTCCTCCACGCAGTCCTCCCGGCTCCGCCGAACGAATTATTAGCTCCAACTTGCCTTACTCCAGCTTTCAGAGGTAAGGATCCCTCCGTCGTTTCCTGCTGAGAGAAAATAAAGAATATCAAACTGGAATATATATCGATCCAACTGATCTGGAATTCTTTGCTTACTTTTGATTAATTGCACATTTATTGTTATTGTTTGCTGGCACTGCAACATCGAGAGCTAATGAACTGAGAAAGCAGATTCATTATTATATTTGAAAATTTACAATTATTCAAAATATTACAATAATTGAAATATTTATTATTATATGATTCGAAATATTTTTTTACATTTGAATGTAATTTTAATGGTATCTATCTTCTCCCAAACGTCATTTGTTGACTTTGCTTACTTTTCATTAACTGCACATTGTTATTATTATTATATTCGCTGGCACTGAGAGCTAATGGACTGAGAAAACAGATTCATTATTATATTTGAAAATTTACAATTATTTATTACAGTTTATAATAAATAATTATAGAATTAAGTAAAGTAGAAAATTTATAATTATTTAGTATAGTTACAATTATTTATTATATATTAACAATTTAAAATATTACAATAATTAAATTTACAATTATTTAAAATTTTACAATAATTGAAATATTTATTATTATATGATTGAAAATATTTATTATTTTATTTAAATATGATTTTATTTTATTTAAATATGATATTTAAATATTTTTATTTAAATATGATATTATTTATTTATTATGATTGAAAATTCTTTATTACATTTGAATGTAATTTTAATGATATCTATTCTTGAAACGTCATTTGTTGACTTTGCTTACTTTTCATTAACTGCACATTGTTATTCACTTGCACTGAGAGCTAATATGAGACTGAAAAAACAGATTCATTATTATATTTGAAAATTTACAATTATTTATTACAGTTTATAATAAATAATTATAGAATTAAGTAAAGTAGAAAATTTACAATTATTTAGTATAGTTACAATTATTTATTATATATTAACAATTTAAAATAATACAATAATTAAAATATTTATTATTATATGACTGAAAATATTTATTATTTATTTAAATAAATAGTATTATAATTGAAAATTCTTTGTTACATTTGAATGTAATTTTAATGGTATCTATTCTCGAAATTTGTTGTCACATGTACGTACGTTTTATGTTCGTACGTGAAATCTAGTAAGTAAACAAAGACTGTAACTTACTTCAATTACGTGTATTAATTATATGCATTATCTTAATTTTCCCTTCGACCAATTAAATTCGAAATCCTTCCAGTTCATCTGAATATTTTTCCATTATATATCTGAATGTAATTTCAATCTGTTTTCGATATTTAATTTTCGAAACACTTGTGTCCCAACTTACTTTTTTTACAGATATTAATTTCTCCTTTGTCATTTTTCTTTTTTTTTTTTTTTTTTTTCGAGTAATCATTGTTTCGTCTTACGAAATAACACGAGTTCCTTCGAACCTATTGTGTTCTGCGCAGCCTATTGTGCGTGGCCAGAGACAAGGATAAAAACGGATCTGGAATGTCAGGAGGGATGGAAGCACCCTGGCAGGTGAAAGCACGCACCACTTCCATAATATACGAGACCCAGTTGAACTTTGTCGAGTTTGTCGCGCTGTTCCGTTCGTTCAGCCTGAGAGCGAGGAAAGACTTGCGCGACCTGTTCGGCCAACTGGCCATCACTTGTCGTAGCCAGAGCGATGGTTCTTTGAGAGACTTCAACGTACGGCCGCCTGTGTTGAGGCAAACCAGCGACGCAACCCCTCAACGAATCGGTCAGTTTCCTCGTCGTTCACATATTTCCCGCGCGGATGTGAAACTTTTTGTCAAAGTAGAGATTAAAGCAACTCTATTGTACAAAGATCGGCATACTCGAAAGATTAAAAGTAATAATCGCAAATTATTTTTATAAAATTATAATCAACAAAAAATTCATTCTGTATAGATGAAGTATATTACACGTAGGTTATCACAGTTTATCACGCCAAAAAAAAAAAAAATTACTAAATTACAAACAGTTTATCACGCCAAAAGAAATTACTAAAATATATAAATATATCTATTGTATATTTTATACATGTAATATATTTTAGTAATTTTTTTTGGCGTAATAAACTGTAACATAATATATAATAGATATATAATGAATATATAAATGTATAATATATATAATAAATATATTATACATTTACATGTAATATATATAATAAATATATATTACATGTAAATATAATATATATATAATATTAATAATAATATTAGTAATATAATATATATAATAAATATATTACATGTATATATAATATATATAATATTAACAATAATATTATAATATATATAATATTAATAATAATATTATAATATATATAATA